TGTGTGTGTGTGTGTGAGAGAGAAAGAAAGAGAGAGTGTGTGTGTGTGTGTGTGAGAGAGAGATGGAGAGAGAGAGAGGGAGTGTGTGTGTGTGTGTTTGTGTGTGTGTGAGGGAGAGAGAGAGAGACAGAGAGAGAGAAAGAGAGAGAGAGCTACTACATGACTGTCAAACTTAGCAACCCTCACAACACGCCTGTGTGTGTGTGTGTGTGTGTGTGTATGTGTGTGTGTGTGTGTGTGTCTGTGTGTGTGGGTGTGTGTGTGTGTGTTTGTGTGTGAGTATGTTTGAGAGAGAGGGAAAGAGAGAAGGGAAGAGGGATAAAGATAAAGTGAGGGAGTGGGAGAGAGAGACAGAATGAGAATTGATTTCAAATCTTATATTGCGTTTTTGGTTCTGCGTTTTAGCGATTACTGCTTTAGTACTGTTTTGGGTTGTTTGTTTGTTTGTTTTTTGTTTGTTTTTTTCGGGGGGAGGGGGAAAGGGGGTTGGAGGATTACCTATTTCGTTCACCCCAAGATCTGCGCACCTTGTCCTGTGCCACGTTTACCACTTTTCTGTTCAATTACAAGTAGTTTGAGTGTTTACACAAATAAATTCATCAACATTTGACAGAATTATAGCTGTTTTAAGATAATGCCCTCCGCTGCCTCAAAGTGGGCAAATAAAGTTATGGAATCCTTTGTGTACTGAAAGAGTTAAACACTTACACTCAATCTGTAGTCCCATCTAAACTGTGCTGCCATATAAGCTGACAAAACGCCTTTTTTCATTTTGGTGCCAAAATTCTTTATTTGCTAAACTGAAAGCCTAATCAGTTAACCATACTTGTGAGAAAAAATTAAATTGAAACTGTGACTAGATTTTGATTAAATTAGAATTCAAATTTTGGAATGACTTTATTTTAAAATGATTACGCTGACAAAAATCCTCTTTTTCTCAAACATGCTCTAAAGAAAAAAAGGCGTTTTGTCAGCATACAGCAGTATGGTAACTTGCTGTTTTCGGACCAACTTGTGATAATAAACTTCCACTCAACAAAATTTCTATCTCACTCTGAGTCCCATTATATGTATATTTACAGGTCTGGAGGCCCAGCTTCTGGGTATCGTCGTGCGGAAAGAGAGACCGGAGCTGGAGGAACAGAAGGATAACCTGGTGAGGAGTATCGCAGCTGGGAAGAAGAAACTGGTGGAATGCGAGGACGAGATCCTCAGGTAAACCACACACACACACACACACACACACACACACACACACACAC